TCCTCAGCAAGGACTTTAAGACACAGAGAGGTTCACAGGCAGAGGTTGCTTTAGAGCTGCCTTTGGTATAGGTTGCAGGCAGACAACATATGATCCCCTACCCCTGCCCTTACCTGACCAAATCTTCTACCCAGTCCCATGAGGACGTTCCTCATAAACTGCTTCACTCCACATCAGCAGGAACTTTCCTAGCTCAACCCTCCCGTGCTTCCCTCTGCTTCTCTCAAACCACGTGAAGCAGACCAGAAATGTCAGGCTTTGTGTTTTGATCATACAATTTAGCCTAACTTTTCCCATTGATTGATGGAGTAAATATGCATTTGTGTTGCCAGTATATGAAGAGTGTCTTGAAACATGTAGTCTTAGAGAGCTGGTACAATGCTCTCTAAGACTACATGCTGGTACAATGCTGGTACGATGCTGCAGTTCCTACTTCACAGAGTGCACAGAGAAAATAAAGCCCAGGTCTCCCAGAGTATGGAGAAACCTAACCTTTATTGATTTCCTTTGAGTCACACAGGAAGCTGCTGCTAAAAGAGAGGATCCAGAACCCAGGATAGCATCTTAATCACCATCGTCTTGCAGTTAATCCAATTATCCTTCCTATTTATACAGTACTTTTCAGTTGATCGCATACAGTGGAATGCTAGAATGTAATTTTGGGAGCTCAGCAGCCAATTGCCAGGCTATATCCACATTCACGGAGACCTATCAAGCTATTAAAATGCATTTTTGGAAATTGGAGACTGCCCTAGAAAAGGCTGCGCTGCAATTTCCATGCACTGTCAGAGTAGATCGATCAAGAGCAGCAGCTCGGGATCCTGGCCTACCACGAGGGACAAAGGAATAACCAGTTGTCCCTCTTTGCTAATCAGCTACCCCTCCACAGGCAGCTGGCAATGCAAGCAGGGTACCTAAGGGCAACCTGCAAAAAGATTATTTAATATTAATGAAATTCAGTAGCCTCTGAGGTAAACAAGTGCTCCTCAGAGGAAGGCCCTGGAGTCAAGCCCCTTGTTGCCATTTGGGACTCATTAAGCAAAGAAATAATCCAGTGGAAATGGCTGCTTGTACAAAACTGAAACAGTCTCCTCTCCCTGAGACAGATTTTGAAAGCCAGACAGATATTTCCCATGACTTTATGTGATTTATTGCAGCATGCTGGCACTAAGCAAGGGGGTTTGACGCCGCGTACATCTGATCCAAATTCTTCTCATAGAAATGATTTTTGATCTGTCGTGTCTATCTCCTAAGTTCAGAGGTCCCTGGGAGAATGACTTTGTTCAATGCAAATAGAAACAGTATGGAAATGAAACCCTTCCTCTTGTAAACTCTTCTGCAGGTTGAGACCCTCACACCGACTCATAGATCTCTAGTGTCAGACCTGCTTTCACATGCTGCTTAAGCATCACTCTTTACGAACTAGCACTGTGTTCAATATAAGGCACAATTTATCAGCTGACAGGTGGCATTAATTTGATGACGCCGTGAGAATGCTTAAAAAATTAAATTATTCTCAGCATTGGTTAAGAGAAAAAGAATACAGACAAATAGGCCACGGTAGAGACAACATGCATGAGGGAGAAGTTTCCCCCAACTTTTCTCAAGAAAAGAAGCCTACAGCATTGCAGGAAGTTACCCCTGCTCTCTTTGGGTTAAATGAAATACAAATATAATTATGGGGGTGAAGGCTGCAATGGAGAATTTTGATATTTTGTACTGGGAGCAATGTTTAATGGCCCAGTAAAGCTGTAATAACATACAGAGCCATTCATCTCCAGGCCTCTGGGACGAAAATAGTCCAGACGCAGCCACCACGAGGTTGTTATCTGGTGAACATCCAGTAAGACAGAAGCTGGACGTGTTCCAGACACTTCCAAATGAGCCCTGTGTGTAAAGCTGGTAGTTATAAAACTATTTTCAGTTTCTGTCCAGAAAGGTAACAAGGTGAAAGAGAAGTTCAAAGATCTTGCCTGTGGTCTTGGCAGACCCAGCGAGGGCTGCAGAGAAGATTGACTGTGGAAGTGGAGAATTTGGGTTGGAGGGATACCAAGAGTGTTTGTCTTGGGTCCCTCACACACCAACACGATTTAAACTTTATGGAGCACAACAAGCCTGGCACTGGAGCCAGGTTTATGCAGCTTCTACACAGGGTGACACGCAGCCCCAGAAGCACAGCTGGTGTCTGGCAAGACTGTGTGACAAGATGCACAAACAACTGCAAAAAATTTTAAGAAGCTATGACAAAGAAAAGGACCTTCTTACAAGCCACTCATTTTACACTTTTCTTGTAAACTTAAAAACCTGCAAGAATCGCACTTTGACCTTAAAAGTTGTAATCTCTGTTCCAGGGTGTTTTCTAGCTGGGATATTATAGCTACAACTCAGACTGGTCTGTTTGCCCAGAGGAAACACTGTCAGCAAAATGCTTCTCCAACAACTATACCAGATTGTCCTGCAACAACTACACTGTGTGTCCTTTCCCTCGCCATCGGCGCACAAATCAACACAAGCAACCCAGGGAGCAGGAGGGATTTATTTTGTAGCTGTTAGGACTTGCCTCTCACATGAAGGAGATAATCTCCCAAGATTTACTCCTACGATGGGATATTCCAATCATTCCATGGATTTCAGGATTAGTCATGTCTGAGGTACAATTTTTTTCTTTTTTTTTTTTTAAGCTGTTTTGAAATGTCAGGAGTGAGAGCTCTCAAAATTAACCGCTTGTGGGGCCAGTTGTGAAAGAGTTGAACTCAGTCAATACTTTCCCATGCTGTTGCACAACAAAAAGCAGTGGGACGGGCCTCTTATCCCATTTGGAAGCATCATCAGAAAAGTGCTGGGATGGGGCAAATCAACTTTGAATTTTGCAATGCACTTCAAGGCCTAGCCGAACATCCACAAGGAAAGATCTGGTGGTCGTTTCACCACGGGCTTCACCAAAAAAAAAGTGGGATAACATTTTCTAATTCTTTGTCTCTTCCAAACATAAGGGCCGCTTGGTGGGAGGGTGTTGTGTGCTTTGGTTTCCTGTCAGGCCATGGAGGGCCGGCTGAAGAAGCAGGATAAAGCATTTTCCTTTTGCCTCCAAGAACTTTGTGTTCACATCCTGGGTATTGTCTGAAGTGACATAAGGCCAAAGAGATTTTCTATTGACACATATGTTCCTTGTATCAAACCAGTGAACAAAACCCACCACAATACAACTGAGCCAACAGGCCACATCATTTTATTTTTTTTTTAAATAGGAGACAGTAACAAAACCAGGTGATCCACTTAAAAATCTGACTGAAGCTGGTCACAGACTTCTAGTTAGGTATTTCAAAGTAAAACATGAGAAACCAAGCAGCTTGACCTCACCTCAACAAATTTTACACCAAAACAGTTTGATTGTCCTCAGTCTAAGATATGGTGCAAATCTAATACACAGTTCACCCCCTAAGCTAAGTTCAAGGGGGAAAAGGGGTAGAAGAAAACAGGGAAAGGATCTAAAACCCCCCCAAAAGTACTCAAACCTGTTTTTTCAATTTTGTTTGTGTTTTTTTTTATTAATAGGTAGGTTTTAAAATGACAGTTGCTGAAAATATCTGGAGAGATTTATTTCCCTGTCTTCAGACAAGAACCTGTCTCCTTAGTTTGACAAACTTGACCCGGGAGGGTTCCCTCCTGCAACTATTTGCGTAGGAAACCGTGTCGAGGAGTCACCCCACGTGTTCAGGGAGAGGTTTGATTTTACTCAAATGATTCATGAAGTTACAGTGTTGTGTTCTCTTTGGATGTTTGATGTTCGTGCTGACGTAATTTTCATGTTTTGAAGTGTCATATCTTTTGTTTCTCCTTCTACCTGCTTGCTTTTGGGGTAGTCATCAGACAATGAAAATATTCCTCTAAAGGAGTACTCTGTGTTCTCATTAAAAAATACTCTAATTGTCCAGGCACTTGCACAGCCCAGCCCTGTTTATAAGAACCTCAGGACCAACCTCTGTGCCAGAAATAGTTTACGAGGGAAACTGGAAGTGTTTAAGCCACTCTATAACTTGCACAAGGTGAATGTAAACATTCCACCTGGGCAAACAGCAGGGGAGGAATTGCCGTTACAACTCTTGAACAAGTGACGCCAGAGAAAACAGCTGAATCCAGGAGAGAACAGTGTGACAGACTCCAAAGATTTCTAAAACTAAGCATTTAGGAAGATGCCCTAAATTCAAGGCAGCCAGATGCCTCTGACTGACACAAACCCTACTTTTTTAGACCCCACCTTGATGCTCCAGCTTTGCACTGCTGGTACTCCCCACACAGCCCCTGTCTCTATCCTGCAGCAGGACCCGTGGTGCCAAGATGGGGTCTTCAGGAGAAGCATGACCCAAGGCTGTGACAGAGAAGTCCAAGTATGCAGGAGAAGCTACAGCGCAAGCTGCAACAAAGCCAGGGTCCCAGGTCACCCTGGAGGATGTGTTCCCTGGTGTCACAACTTCTCCCCATCTTGCCACCTTTCGCTTTGGCCTCCCCAGCATATTTGATGCTCCCAGAGACATCAGAACTTAAGCATTTTAGACTGCTGGTCTACTTCACACATCCATACTATTGAAACAGCACATTAATCCAGGCCAATCCCCCGATTCTGCACAAGCAGAGATTGAAATCAATTCCCTTCAACCATTTTCACAAACAACATTTGTTTCAAAAAGCCAGTTTTCAGTTTGAAATTGAAACATGTGGGTGAGCTTCTTCCAAACCCTGGATCTGATTAAAAGCGCAGCTCTCCTTCTGCATCTCTTTAGTTTAGGTGAAGTAAAGTTGCTTTCTCATACTTCAGATCTCTTAGTTTTTCCCCTCTCTCTCTCAAATTTTATCAGTGCCAATATTGCTTTCCAATGCTGTTTTGGCAGTGGTGAAATGGTATATGCTAACAAAAATATTCGTTCATAATTTATTCATAAGTATTCCAACCAAACTTTCGCCTTCAGCCAAGGTAAAGAAATGGACAAACATATTCAGGCTTCAGTTTTCAAACATTTTATTCACTGCACTTGGAATCAGCTGTACTTCGCTTTTCTGAAAACATTCATACCCTCCATTTCTGGCAGGTGCTGCACCTTTGGATCACTGCAGTAGAGCATTAGAAATAATTCAGGAATATCCTCAGAAAGCAGGATGACATTTCTTTGCTCCATGACCTCTTCCAGTTCGTCTCCACCTTTGCAGATTTTTTTCCAGTGTTATAATCAGAAAAAAGAAAAGGTACTTCTGTTAGAAACAGCTGCATCTAGTCTTAGCATCATGGGCAGTGATGTGACATGCACAGATTTTGTACCCAGGTTTTGTAGAAAGACCTAAAAACAAAGCCAGAATCATTGTCAAAGTCGTTATTTACTCATCAGCCCAACTTTTCTGCGCTATTAGCTTTTGCTGGTTGCGTGTGCTTCTTTTCCAAGCCTGTCACATGCTTCCTACAGTGAAAGTAAGAGACCCAGGTTGCACCCCAAGGCTTCAAAAGGTATGTGTGCTTTGTGTCCAAGTATTGTCTATCTCACAATGGAGCTATTCCGAGGAAGCAGCAGAGCAGCCGCTTCTCTCCCCCTCCAGCCTTTGTAGAACAAAGCACAGAGCTCCTCAGGAGTCAACTTTGTTGTTTTGCCCTTGTACAACGAGCTGTCATCCGGCCACAGGCGCCAGTGGCTGTGGCCCCCCCTTACCAGAGCCAACAGTTCAAAAGCAGGGCTGGGTTTATGCAGTTTAATTTGATGTGTCAAGTGTCTTTATTGCAAGCCATCTTGCAATGTTTGCTGTTAACACTCAGAAAAGAACATGTACCCAATCCAGGGAGGACACGGGGAGGGATAGAAGACAGCTCTGGCAGCACCTATCCCTTGCTCTGACAGAGATTTTCAGGCCCAGCATGCAAACTACCAAGAGAATATTTCAGCATGCTCTAATATTGATCTTCTCTGAAGATCAGATGGGATTCCAACCAGAAGTGTTTGCCATCAGCAATCCAGTCTTTGCCCCTTCTTTATATGCTTGGCAGTCACTTCCAAGGAGAGAAGAAAAACCTGTTTGCAGATAAACAATTTGTGGCCAAATAAGTCAGGCCAGATGTGAGTTAAACTTACAGGAATCATGAGGGGCTTATACTCTCTCTCCAGGTGGCTGTTTACCTCCCATTCGGACTCTTGGGAACAGTATGACACAACGTCCCGTGCAGTAAATGCTCAGTAGAATTCCCTCTGCCAGAGATAACAAACTGCAAACATTACCGTGTTCAATAATCTCAGCATAGGAAGAGACGCAGCTCATTGGTGTATTCAAGGAACCAGAGTGAAAAGGAAAAAAAGTCTGGAGTCACAACAAAAAGCATTTGCTGACAGTTAGACCAAACCCTTCTGGAAACCTGTCAGCGTTTTCTTCTGCCATCTATTGCGCAGGCACCACGGTAATAAGTGATTCAGATGTATTCCTGATTAAATCCAAGAAAGATGACATACTTCATAATCACGATAAGCAAATGGACAGCATGATTTAAAAAGTAGCCTGTTCTTTCCTGTTTCTCACAATACCTCTACAGGTTTTGATTCACAGCTTAAAGCTCCCGGCTCCAGCTAATCCTTTCAGAAATAAAATTGACACACCAGGCGATAAGAGTCTTCATATAAAGGAAAAAGCTTTTCTTTTCCGTGAACCCATTGACTCACTCATCTTTCAAGTCTCCACTCCAAACACGTTTCTTACAGCAAACCCTCTGCCACTAACATTCATGTGTGAACTGTCTGTCACAACTACCAACAAGAACAGAATGAAAGCAAGCTGCTTGTTTGTACAGGAGAGAGAATGGTCCTGTGGTTAAAATACTTTGCCTGTGACTGAAGACATATGGATTCTCTCCTTTAAAAAGAGCCGTGATTTCTGTGTGAGTTTGTACCAACCATTTACCTCACCTCAATTTTCCTTCCCTCAAAGAGAGCATTATGATAACAGGGCTTTCAAACCACCCTGGGTCAATGTAAGTGTTTGCTTCATTTTGACAGCAGAAAACACTTTCAGTAGTTTTAGTTGCACATGTGAGCAATCAGGTTACCATAAAGAGCCATATGTTGCAATTATCCATCTACACCAACTTTCTTAACCAAACTTTCCCTAAAGTCTATATGTATGCTAAGAGAGTTGGGCAAGCAAACACCAGCTGAGCAAGAAGACCAAGCCTTGTTATGGTAAGCAGATAGACACCACCCAAGGAAGGTAGCCCAAGGCAATGGGCAGCTGGATAGAAAACAAAGAGAATTTCTTCTTCATAAATGAGCTCCTCCCCAGCAGCACACAGACAGGCCCAAACTGGCTCTCTACAGTTCAAAAAAAAACGCCCCAACCTTCCAGTCTTTTCTACCTGGCAACAGGCTCCCTTGCAGGGATTACACACTCCAACACGAGCCTCTGTGCCACCGTGTGATGATTCCCCCTTTTTCCTTCAAAAGACTAAGGCAAAAATCCCTAGTGAGCATTTAAAAGAGTACACCTTGCATCTTGTTATACCACCTCCTAACAGCGGCACACCGTTACCAGAGCACTGCCCAATCAGTTATTACATAAAATATGTCCTTCCCAGTACCAAGTGGAAAACAGGCTCCAGTGACCAAGCTCTTGGAATCCTTTCCAGCAAATATGCTTTGTCCAGCCTGATGGCCCTCCGTAAAACGGTGTGACTGTGACAAAACGGGGTTCATGGTCGGTAAAAGAGAAGGAAAAGGGGTTTGAGGTCTCTACCCCCAGATTGGGAGCACTTCACCTGACCCCACGTTACACATTTAAAAGGTAAGCAAAGCACTCTTCAGAGAGCTGCTCTGCCTGCTTATCGGAGCACCAATCTCACCCACCATATTTTTAATCACTCTGATGTCTGCAACCACGTGCTGCATGCCCCTGGGCTCAGGAGCCTTATCATATTGTCCATCTGTATAGAACCGTGCACACTCTCTATCTATAAATAACAGAGGTAATTATTACTAGTAAATAATATATACTAGCTCATTTAAAATGAATCATGTTCTCCAGTCGCCCTGGAGAATGAATAACATAGGCAAAGCTACAAGGCATCGCTTTAAAATACTCCTTATATAATTATTATGAAATTGCATTAGGCTATGACTCATTCCTGCAAATGCAGGGTTCATTGAGGGTAATTAAAATAAGTCACTCTCTCTTCAAGGTGGTGACTCATAGGCTGCTGCCCATAACGGAGTGCAGAGTGAAGTCAGAGAGAAGCTCCTCTTTCCCCACTGAAAAAGCAATAGCACTTTATTAAAGCAGTGGGTTTGGTCCATTTAGCCAGCAGGTGTGGATTTTTTTCCCTATCCAAGAAATTAAATCAACTACGTATTAACTAAGTGTCTTACTAGACTGTAGGGGAAAATAAGGGGGCTAAACACAACTAGGGTATACTCACACACTGTTTTGCTAAATAATTACAGAATCACAGAATGATAAGGGGTAGGATGGGACCTCTGGAAGATGATCTAGTTCAACCTCCCTACCAAACAGGTCCTCCTAGATCAGGTTGCACAAGAAATTGTCCAGGGGGCGTTTGAATGTCTCCAGAGACAGAGACTCCACCACCTCCCTGGGCAGCCTCTTCCAGGGCTCTGCCACCCTCAAAGGAAAGAAGTTCCTCCTCATGTTTAGGTGGAACTTCTTATGTTCAAGTTTGTGCCCATTTCCTCTTGTCCTGTCACTGGGCACCACTGAGAAAAGACCAGTCCCGTCCTCCTGACACCCTCCCTTTAAGTATTTATAGACTTTGATCAGATCCCACCTCAGCCTTCTCTTCTCCACACTAAAAAGACCCAAGTCCCTCAGCTGTTCCTCATCAGAGAGATATTGTAGGCCCCTCATCATCTTTGCTATACCCTCTTCAGCAGTTCCCTGTCCTTCTTGAACTGGGGAGCCCAGAACTGAACACAGTGCTCCAGATGCGGCCTCACCAGGCAGAGTAGAGGGGCAGGATTTAAAACAATTATGTCTGTATGTAGTGTTGTAGCTGTTATCTAATGAAAGCTGCTAACAGTAAGGTTCCATACTTAGTAGGTATATATGGACCTTATCACGTCCAAGTCAAGTTGCAGATGAGATTGAATTAAGCTCACCCAAGAGCTAAGAAAAGGAAATTCAGTGTCTTGTTCCTTTGATGCTATGGAAGGAATTACAGCAAGACAGGATATGTCAGCCTCTGCACCCAGGTATATCTGCACAATAGCTGACAAGACTTTATTTCAAAAAATCCACACCTTAGCCGAGTCAGGTTGGAATAATTCGTATAGTTTGGGAATTTGGTTGCCAAAATACAAAGCTACTGAAAAAAATGAGTACAAAAGACAGTAGAATGTAGCTGCACCGCTCTCCCACACTCCAGCACTAATGACAGCTCATAAGTAGTTCTTTGTTTATCTCTGCCATGCGTTTCTGTGCTCTACAGTTACTGTCCTGTCTTTTCTAGTATGCTTTGCTAAATGCATTTTATTTTTTAGGAGTATCATCTTTTCATGAGCTTTTCAGCTCTTTTGATGTGGGAAAAATCAGACATTCAATAATTTTCATTGGTATTCTTAACTATATTTCATATCAGGAGATTGCTGTCCACATGATGAGAATTAACTTAGGGAAAAGAGTACGCTTTCAATATATAAATTAATCTAAAATCTACCAATGCTGGGAAATTTATTTCTTGGGAATATATGATTAAGCTGATAGCATGTTAAAAGAATGCTTTCTCATTATAAACCCCTTTGTAATAACATAGATCATAATTGTAGGAGTCTGTGATGGTTCAGTATTAATTAACTAGTTTCTTTTCCTTAAAGCTTAGCATCCTCGCTAAAGCTTGCGAAAAGTTGTGGAATATCAATAATGGAGGACCAGCTGGCTGCTTTATAAACCCAATCAGAATGAATTTTTTAAGCAAGCTGACAGAAATACTGAAGGAGTTGCAGAGTTGATGATGTCCAAGCCAGGTCAACTTAAAACAGTGCTTTAAATACTTACCTTCTCTTCCAGGCTTGACTTGCACATCCCACGTAGTGAGTGGTTGCTTCAAGGAGTACCAAGGGGGACACTAATGCACCATCTCAACAAAATCCATTTGAATACAAAGCATGATATTGTACATTGGCCATAGACCCTAAAAGGGAGAGTGTAATTCATTTAGTAAGCTGGTTTTCAAAGAGGTTTAACTGCCAGTTTATTTGTTTTCCTGGTTGGGATCTGAGATTGTAATTGATAAAAGCAATTTGCTTTGGAATTTGTACCCAGGTTTGCAAATATTCATGATATATCACTGGATATAAGCCCACTTGTATAAAAAAAAAAAAAATGTGTAAATTTACATTTTCATAATTGTACTGAATCTGTCTGGGATGGAGTTAACTTTCCTCATTATACAAGCCCACTTGTATTAAAAAAAAAAAAAAAAAGTGTAAATTTACATTTTTATAATTGTACTGGATCTGTCTGGGATGGAGTTAACTTTCCTCATGAAAGCCCATATAGACCTGTGCTTTGCATTTGTGGCTTGAGTGGTGTTGGTAACACACCAGTGTTTTGGCCATTGCTTCACACACCATCAAGGATGTCTCTCCAGCCATCCTCACCATGAAAGCCCATATAGACCTGTGCTTTGCATTTGTGGCTTGAGTGGTGTTGGTAACACACCAGTGTTTTGGCCATTGCTTCACACACCATCAAGGATGTCTCTCCAGCCATCCTCACCAAAGGCCAATAGGGGGTGGACAAGAGATTGGGAGGGAACACAGGTGGGCAGCTGACCCCAACTGACCAAAGGGATACTCTGTACCATATGATGTTGTTCTCAGCAATGAAAGTTGAGAGAAGGGGTGTCAGGAGTGGGGGGACAGTCAACGTATTTGTCTTCCAAAGCAACCACTACACATCCTGAGGGCCTGCTTCCCATGAAGTGGCTGGACATCACCTACTGGTGGGAAGTAGAGAAAACATCTGCCCATTTCCCTTTGCTTCTGACTTCAGCCTTTGCTTTTCTCATTAAACAGCCTTTATCTCAATCCATGAGCTTGCCCGTCCTATTTTCTCACCCTGACCTATTAAGTGAGAGAGGAACTTGTAGGGGAGAGGTGTCTGGCAGCCAGCAAATGTCAAGGCACCACAATAATATTCTCTGACTTTTAACCTCCCATACTTTGACATGCCAGAACTTTCAGTTCAGGTAGGAAGAACTGGAAGGTCTTCAATAGTTCATGATTGCATCTGTCTATTCTTCGTGCCTCGTTCATACACTTTCTTATTCTTGTGGTTCAGGTCTTCATGTGATGGAAGCTCACACCATTCATTAGGTGTTGCACAGGTCTGTGAAACAGAAACATCACATGTTAACTTTGTGCCAGACCACTTTGCACAGTGGTTCTCTTGTATGAAACGAGTATTTCGATTCAAAGCTGTGAGTCATGGACACACAGCAGCAGTCTGAAAAGCAACATCACAATGAATAAATCTTGTGGACTCTTTCAGAGACAGGTGATAATTTTGTGATACAGAAATCCAGAAGATCACGCTATAATCCTCAGCTGACCCGCTTGGTCAATTGTTACGATATTTATCAGTGTTCTGGCAACTCTATCCAATGTCTCCTTCATATAAAATTAGTCCACTCCCTTTTTCCCTCTGAAATCTTTTAAAAGCACAATTGGACAGAGCAAAGCAGCTTACTAAAACATTCTCTGCTCTGTCCTCTTCTTGCAGGCAGGTGCTCAAGCACTCTGGAAAAGAATTCAACATTTTTCACTAAAATGAGTTCTAAATAGAGAAAAATCCATATTAGGGAACATCAGTCACCTAATAAGGAGGAAACCTTTGAAATACGCTCTGTATTTCTAAAAGAAATAGTCCGAATTCCAGATTCTTGGCTTTCCTGAAATATGCTGGATTTCCCTCCTCTCATTCACGTCCTTCATAAAAAACTCCCATTGTTTTGTCTCACCAGTGGAATTTCATTAGTATAGAAGAAGCACCAAAGCCATTATTGTGTATGAAATGTGTATGAATTATATATGCTTGTGCTCCAGGACCAAATGTGTATGAATTATATATGCTTGTGCTCTAAAGAACTCTATGAGATTGCTTTTATTATAGCCATTATCCTGTCTTTCCCACTCCTTTATTCCTATTTATGGTTCTGATTTGTCTCAATATCAGCTCTGAAGTTAGAGGCCGTGTCCCTGTGACACCTATGGCACTAGTGGATGGCACTAGAACAACAGTGACTGCAATGCCATTGCTTATAATGCTCATCCAGAAGACCTGGCAGCAAACCAAGCCTTACTCATCACAAGTACAAAATCAGCTAGGATTGACATAAGCAAAAAGTAAATTCCTTTTATCAATATATCACTTTTATTGGGCAAAACCGGACACTCAGCTGTCTGAATTGTGTCTGATGACTGCATTTAGTGCTGTTCTTCATGTTAACTAGTGTTACACTGAATATTAGGGCATGTTGGTCAATCTATATATGTCAACTTCCAAGACAAAGTGTTTTGCTTCCAGCAGCAAAAGAAGACTCAAGGCTAGAGCCTGCCCAAATCAACACAAATGCAATTTATGGAGGAGGATAACCTTTGAATTACTTGTACTACTTCAGGACAAACTGAAAACAGAAATTAGAGTTACTCTTGATTATATATGCTTTATTTAATCCAATGAGTTAAAGGCAGAAGTAACCTGTTCCCACTCTGAGTTGACATAACAATGGCTTTTGATTGGAATCAAGCTTTTATTTTCTCCTAGCTATGTTTATATAGCATGGCCAATGTTTTAATTGTTGTCATTGTGAAGCGTTGGCTTGATTTTCAGTGTAGTATCATGGGTATTGCTGTGCCTCAGACACTTGGGAAGGCATTCACAAACTCAGTGGTTCATTTATTTAAAGGTTGTGCTTTAAAATGTTTCTGTGTTACAGGAAATATTTACAGCTGTAATTTCAAATGATGCAAGGAATGTTTGAAAGTCAGGTACACGAGCACTGAGGCACGTAATTAGGTTTGGTCCTGGAGTTTTCAGGCAGTAGAGTTGCAACCCTCATTGTCACTTGGAAACACGTGCCCAGGCCCACGTGAGGCTGAGATGGTTTATCACTTCTCTCTTTCTCTTGCTCTGTGTCCCTTTTGGGTTTTTTTGATAATCAGAAAGATTCAAGGTGGGGAAAAAGTATTTTCTGATATAAGTGATTGGTTTGGCACAAGGATAGCTGAGTAGGCTGGGACTCTTCAGCTCGGGAAAGAGGCAACTCATGACAACAAATGATAGAAGTCTGCAATATTACAAGTGTCTTTGGGGAGACTGAAGAGGCATCAGGTTTTCACCCCCACTTAATAAAAAACCTAGTGCACATCAAGTGAAGGTGGTAGGAGCAAGGTTCATAACAATGAACAATGACAATGGTTCTTTGAACAGCAGGCGCTACAACTATGAAATTCACTGTGCAAAGAAGTCACAAAAACTCCAGTTTAGCTGAGGTCTCCAGGAAAACGGATGAGTACATGGAAAAAAACCCTTTTATTCTGAGGGCCCTGTCAAAGAAGTTTATATTTTTATTGCTGTTCCTGAAGAACTTACTTATGTCCAGTGTTGAAGAAAAGGTACAGAGCTAGATGGATCTTTTGTCTGATCTTTTTATAACTTTTAATACTTTTCTGCTATATGTTCTTGGGACTGGACTTCCTAGGAATCAAGACAAAAGCTCCTGTGCCACTCAACTGGTAGAGTCCTTAAAAACGCTTTGGAAGCTGTTCATCAGCTTCAGCCAAAGCTGACAGCAGGGACAAAGTTTCTGAATTAGTAATAGTGTACATGTTTTTTTTTTAAATCAGTGGCAGGAAGAAGAAACTGATCCAAATTATTCACGGAATCACAGAATGGTTGAGGTGGGAAGGGACCTCTGGAGGTCAAGCGGGGCCTCCTAAAGCCAGTTGCCCGGGCTTCAGGAAAAGAGGAAAAGACACCAGAGGAACAGTACAGAAGAGACAGAAGAAGAAAGATTTGATAGATTTTACAGCTCATGGAACTCAGTTCTTACTGCAGAAATTTTACACTGAAATATTTTGGGGAACAGAGGTGACAGGCAGTACAGAAGAGATACAAGAAGGAAGATTTGATAGATTTTACAGCTCATGGAACTCATTTCTTACTGCAGAAATTTTACACTGAAATATTTTGGGGAACAGAGGTGACAGGAATTGTACTTTCAAAATCTGAATTTGACTTTATCAAGCTGAGTAGCTCTTAATGTTCATATTTATCTCATTTCCTTGGCATAATTGCACTATGGCCTATGACTACGATGTTATAAATAAACTCCAGCTATAAATGACTCATAGCTCTCAAATATAATATATAATATCGAATTATGAATGTAATACAAACACAATGCATTAATATTGCAGCCGCATCCAAATAATTGCTGTGTTTTGAGTATATCTAAAAATACACAGATCTGACCACAAAATCCATTCCCATTGTGATAGTGCAAAATGGCATGATGAACTTTAAATAATCCTTATTGTCAGCTGCATGTGGAGCTTTCAAAGACAAGACATCTGCCTTGGCCCACAAATTCTCTTTTTGCAAAGAAAGCAGAAGCCTTTCTCTCTGTTGCTATGTCCAGGATGTTGATGGTTACCTAATACCCATTCAGCTTTTCTTCGTCATAATTTAGAATTTTACTTTAAGAAGTGCCCAGGGTTATTTCAGGTATGAAGGGAACAATTTAAAAATCTCATTTTTACTCTCTGCCATGCCACAGGGCAAAAGTAATAGCCTTATGCAATGTTGCACCACGTTGCACAGGCTGATGTGATATTACACAACATGTGGTAGGTACTGAAAGAAGCAAATGTTTTCAACATACACACAAAAAGCCCTAAACGCAGGGGGCCTTTCAGTGCCCTGAATGAACACAACAATATAGACCCTGCGAGCAACAAATCTGCCTTTCAGCTGAACTCATTCAGGCAGAGATGTAGGACCAGGGCTCCTGTTGCGTTCCCTTTGCCCAAAAGCAACCAGGAAATATTTTGTTAAATCTCCCAGCAAAAGCAACTGGATCTAACATTGTAAAGTGATGGGTTTTTGTTGTTTTTTTTTTTTCCATCAAGAATTACAATGTTCGTGAGTCCACACACCCTTTGATGATCATTTTTTTAATCTGCTATTTCTATTTCAGTCATGAAATTGGAATGGAAATTCAACGTCTGTCTACACTCCTGTGGAAAAAGAAAGGATGATCAAGAAGGAAGCTGTAATCTCTAAGAATAAAAGGCCAATTCCAAACATCTGCACAATGTTCCCTGCATGGGTTAACTCACTGCTGATCAAGCAGGACAGTCTGAGCTTCAGAGAATGACTTAACAATATTTAACTAAATTTGACCTGTTTCCTTGCTCTTTTGCACATGGTCAGGAACTATTTTACATCATACCTCAGTAAAAAGAAATCTTGCAGTACAATGAAAATAATTTTCCTGTATTAAATAAAAGCCCTGATGAAGTATATGAGCATGAAGTGTTACCTCTATTAGTGCAGACATTAAGGTAGGGTCTGGAGGCTCAAGGAATGTACTTCTACTGTACCAGGGAGCCAGCTATGAGCATCTCTATGAATAAAGATCTATTACTGTGTCCAGCTATGCAGCCCTCGGCACAAAAAGGAAGTGGACCTGTTGGAACGGTTCCAGAGGAGGCCACAAGGAAGATCAGAGGGCTGGAGCACCTCTCCTCCTATTACTGTGTCCAGTTCTGTAGCCCTTGGCACAAAAAGGACGTGGACCTGTTGGAATGGTTCCAGAGGAGGCCACGAGGAAGATCAGAGGGCTGGAGCACCTCTCCTATGAGGACTGGCTGAGAGAGTTGGGGTTGTGATAGAGTTGGAGAAAAGAAGGCTCCGGGGAGACCTTATAGCCCGTTCCAGTACTTAAAGGGGTCATACAAGAAAGCTGAGGAGGGACTGTTTGCAAGGGCATGCAGCAATAGGACGAGGGGCAATGGTTTTAAACTAGAGCAAGGTTGGTTTAGATTAGACATTAGGAAGAAGTTCTTTACAATGAGGGTGGTGAGACACTGGAACAGGTTGCCCAGCAGAGTGGTGGAGGCCCCATCCCTGCAGACATTCAAGCTCAAGCTTGATGAGGCTCTGAGCAACCTTCTCACTTATTTCTGCAGGGGTGTTGGACTAGATGGCCTTACATTCTATGATTCTATAATTCTATCTGGGAGCAATAAGACCATGATAGTTTCTAAGAATCAGACTTTGCACACTCTTGAGAGAAAAAAAATTAAAATGTTAGAAAACAAAATCTTAAGCCAAAGGTAAGACTCTGTTACGAACCACGCTCACTCCACAATGTATTTTCACTAACCCATTAATGCAGTCATGGTGTTAGAAAAAGACAGTAGAACATCTGGCTGATGTTCTCATGGGAGGTTTGCACACTCAGATATTGTAGCTGCCAATTCCTTCTGCATTTCACATCTTAACTGCTCAGCTACAGATAGAACAAATCTTCACTACACTAGGTATTTTACAGTTAATACTCTGTTTTTAATCTTCTTTTGAATATTCAATAATTCTGCCAGATAGCTTCTGATAACTTTATACTTTTTCCACACTTCAATCTTTAGAGCTAGGTATAAAAAAGTCTTGAAATAACTGAGAAATAATGTCTAACAGTCACAATTCAAGTCACCATTTTGATATTAAACTCAGAATTTAAACTCCGCTCTTACAAAAATAATGTAAACTATGGGAATATCCTGGATCTAATGCCCTAGTGAAGGGTATTATCAATCAGTTATAAAGCGATCATTTTTCAATGTGTTGGGTTTTTTTCACATGGATGATAGTAGAAAGTAGAAGTAGAAGTAAAATACAAGTAACATCTCCTGATAGACAAGTTATGGAAGGTGAAAATAAGAAGCAAAGCCATTCTATATCTGTGCTTCCTCTATCTTGTAACCCTGGTACCATGCAAAACAGCAACAGAGCAGAAGCAAATCTTTATGAACAAAGTTGAAGACACCACATGAATATTCATCTAATTAGCCAACCTAATTAGTATGTCCATTGAATTTCCTAAGTTAATTTCTTCAGTTTTCTTCCATGAGGTCTTGAGGAAGCTTTTCATGTTATAATTGCAAGGGTAACATTTACAGTAATAGTGAAAAAAGGTTTTCCTGCAATATTGAATCATGACAGATTCCCCAGGAATGGAGGTAAAAGGAAGACAAGTCTAAAGCATCCATGAAAGAAGTTATGAAACCTTGCATAGAGACAATTCTTCTCTTACTCTTTGTGAAACAAACTGTTATTGGTGCATTGTAGGTTTTTAAAGATATTTCTCTTTCCCTAACCTCAAAGAAAGCTGTTCTGATGATGGCAGCCAGAAGAACTCCTGAAAGTGATATGAAAAGTTGTCTTTTTCTGTAATACTTTTAGAAATCAATTCTATTTTTGCTATATTCTAGGATACTAATTCATAAACAATAGTGAAATGCAGCTGATTTCTGAGACTTATTCTTTCAAAATGATTTTTTTTAATTTTGTGCAAAATTTTAGTGCTTTTTTTTTTTTTTTTTTTTTTTTTTTTTTTTTTTTTTTTTTTTTTTTTTTTTGAGGATTGCTGAAGCTTTAACATAAAATTCTCAGGTAATCTGAATTAGACTAATAGAGATTATTTTCTGAGCTAGAAGAAAGTCACACAAGTATACATAAAGATACATAACCAAGAGCAGAGTTACTCCTAGAACCCCAGTCCGCTTACACACTTCAGTGTTACAAATAAGTGGTTAAATAAAAACTCCTCTAAAGTTTATCACTTCAGTGAAGTCAGATAACAATGTCCAGTGGCTGCCACAAATGCAAGTTCAGTTGATGATTTTACTTGTAAACCATTAAAAAGCTGCTTTTAGTCTATTTTATATTTAAACTAAGCCAAACCAGCAGTGCCATAACAGAGTGTACCTGAGAGTGATGGACTCGGTGTGATGGATGCCTCAAAGTCACCACAATTTGCATGCAAGATACCACCGCAAGGTTTAACGGCTGATTAATGACAGCTCTCTCTTTCACATCCCGACACAGGAATTCATCTGAACTCCAAGTTCCAGAGCAGAGAGTAGAGAAAGGTGATGTACAGACTGAAATAACAAAAAAAACAGGTTGGAAGGAAGCTGAAGACGTCACTGGTCCTTCCTGCTTCTCAGGGCAGGGCAGGCATATGGTACATAGCTCATTCCCCAGAGCTTTTCCCTGAGGGGCTCCCAGGAACCTCCTGGCACTTCCAGCCATTCCCCAACTCATCTGATCCAGCACTTTGCTAACGTTTTGAAGTAAAAAAAAAAAAAAAAAAGGGAATATATTAGGCTCATCTGATCCAGCACTTTGCTATCGTTTTGAAGCAAAAAAAAATAAGGGAATATATTAGTCCCCACAGAGAACAGCTATTAGTTTCATACAGCTTAATATATTTTCAGTGTCTGCAGATAAATCACAGTAACACAGTCTAAGTTGTCACAGTATCATGGTCTAAGCTAGAAAACATTACTTTTTCTTTCCAAAGAAAAGAGAAATGTTAGATCCTGAGGTGTTACTAGCATATAGGCAAAAGTTTTCTCATGGGTCTCCACCAGTCTGTCATAGATAAGAGAAAAATAACTTTGGCAGTAGTCATGTCTTGCTGCGTCCAGGTCCAAACACCCTGTTAAAGTGATTCTGAGCCGGAGCAATGCCCAAAAAGGAGGCTCTATCTGGTTTTTTTGTTCAGAAAATGATGAAAGAAGTTAAGGCTGGTCTGAACAGAGGCCCTCCTCTGCAGAAAGGGAGGTTACCCTTAATAAATAGCAAAATACTGGGAGCACAAACCAGAAGAAATATTGCAAAGTGGTGAGAAAAAGGGTAACACAGGAGAGGAGAGAACCACCTGGGATACGGTGGATCCAGTTTCACACTAACAACATTGTATAAATGAGGGTATGAATTCATCGTGTTCCCTCTTGATATCATTTGCTGTCCTGATTATCTTTAGTTATAGGCTGCATGAATTATGTAGGCACCCAGCTAGGCTCTGCAATTATAGCTGCAAAGATAAAAGCCTTGACAAAAAGCTTGCTATCCTTTTTCACTTATTATTTCCATCTCACTCTCCATTTATTGCAATAAACATGGGGACGTTTGAATCCTGTACAAACTAGGGCTGAAAAATCCCTTACTACAAAGGCAAGACAAGCCCCAACCCAACAAGGCAGTTACTTATGAGGCCTGACTGTAAGAGCACAGATAGTCCCACCGAAGCCAGAGTGACTGCTTGAGTGATGATACTGCTTAGTCCTGGGGCCTTTATGGGATGTGAGATGTGTCTTTGCAGTTACTGGAGGAAAAACACTAAATCATACCCAATGCTACCCATATACACACACTGTATTATTGTAGAGTACTGCAAAGAGCTTGGCCACACATCCTGCTTGCTTCCAAAGTGACGTGCTCATCACTGAAGACATCGGGGAGGCTACTAAACCAAGACGTACCACTGCCTCCCTCACCAGCCAGTGATGAACAACTTTCATTTCACTCACATCCCACCTTGTGCCTGCCACAGAGAGAGCCATTCCACTGCTCCGAGTGATAAAGGGACTACAGACACCATATCACAGCAATTAAAGATTTATAGTCGTGTAAATAATTAACACTCCCCCCTTTCCACTGAGCACAAAAGTCATGCTTAGATGAATACAAAAGCAGCAGTAAGCTCATACCAGGCGGCTGAAGCCAATTTATCTGTGATACATCTCAGAAGCCTCACACCCTCTCTCAAAAGAAGAACGTTTTTTGATATGTCAGGATATATTGGATATAAAGTGATGTATTGCATGTTTAGTTCTTTTTTCAAAGGAATAAAGATATCCCCTGTTTCAGGACTGCGGGATAAAACCAGTCTGTCTCGTGTACTGAATTTAGGCTCAACAGAGTGATGTGCTGAGCTCTTGAAGTACTGGAGACTATACCACTCCTCTAGGCCTCACACCAGCAATCTTGTTGCCATCTGGAAACTTCATAACAGGAGAAATATTTCTTTCTCCCTTTGGAATTTTAGGTGCTACTATATTAGGTACCACTATTTTCCCCAATCATATTTCCACCTGTAAAAATCACAACTGTAGGTTTTGCGTGTAAACTCTTGAGCAGTGCTTACCTCAAACGCAGGACTTAATTTTGAGGCATGCATTGCTATGTCCCCACTTCAAAAACATCTTTTCTCACTCATTTTCTTTGTATCCTAATGGGATGGCTTTAAAACCCTTTAGATTACACAGTGTGTTATCAAAGCACAGTTCCAAAAGCACAAAGTATGCCCAAATGAAAATGTTAAGGTTGCAAAGACCAGTGCTCAGAAGGGGTGAAGCAAGACCAGAAGGAAACCTTGTAAATTTAATATAATTAAAATTAAATAATAATTAAATTTAATTAAAATTAAATAATAATTTAATATAATTGCTTATACGCATGGCAATAAAGTTATTAGCTGCTTGGTCACTTGCTCTTTATTTACAGGCCGTTTCCTTTGGTCACTGCACAGAACTGAGTTGTTCTGGCAAGAATGAACTGTGCAATGACACAGGTTGTTCTCTGCAGTTCCTCTGCCTCAGCTTCTGCAGAAACTGGAGCTTGAAGAGTGAAAAAAATATGCCTAAACTGAAAATTTCTGTCTCCTAGGGAATTTCAATGTTCTCTTTTTCAGGTGTTTCAAGTTACAATTAAAAAGCAAAATAGCAGTATTTCCAGCAAGATGGAAATTCTGATGAGGTTTTGTTCTGTGGAAAGCAAAAAATCCAGGTAATTTGTTTCAGAAACATGTTCACAGCTTGCAAGTTTCTGGTTTCTTGAACGACAGAGAAAAAAATTGCCTCAAAGCTTCTCATATGCCAGCGCTGGGAAGAACATAGGATCACAGAATAGTTGGGTCAGATGTCTGCAGCCTCCCTACGGGGCAGCAGCCTTGTGGGACTGGGCAGCCCCTCGGCCACCACTGTCCCCTGCCAGAGCCAGACCATAGGGTTTCTCATCCCAAGTCCCTCAGGCACACTGACTGGTCCAGGCCACCAGCTGACACATCACTGGTTCCCAAGCAAACCCCTACTTTGGCTTCCCTGGCCAGCTTATTTCCCCCAAAACACAACTGTCTGCCCTCTCTGATGCCACTGGTGTATTAAGAACACCCAAGAAAAGGTAAATGATTTCACTTGACCTCATCCTCAGGAAAGACCAGTTTTGGGTTGACATGTCCTCATCTCCAAGATGCAAGGAAGGTGTGCTGTCTTCAACAAGTGTACTCGAGTACTCAAGGAGGGCTATTAGGACCAGTGGGCAGGTGTCCCCTGTGCTCTAGTAGCCTCAGGTCATGGTCTCACACCAGGCATAATGTGAGGTTTGGTGAGGAGACATGTCCACACTGTCCTATACTTGACTCTAGGCAAGAGGAAAGGTGACTTTATGTCCCTGTGTTTCTGTGGGGCCAGAGAGAAGGAGGAAGCCCCGTTCCTGGGGTCAAGGTGAGAAGATCTGCCCAGGGTGCCAGGAAGACATGCTGACTGGTGGAGGTGACGTGGAAGCAGTGCCTGTCCCAGGCTGTCCCTTCTTCCACAGAAGGGGTTGAGTGTTCTTGTGCCCGGTCCAGCATCTCTGTGCCAAAATCTGCCTCATGAATAAATCTCTGGGCCTTTCTCCTCCACCGGTTTCATTCTGCCATCATTTTTTTTTACAGACAGGGGAACAATATTTCTGCGAGGGTCCATTTGTAATATGTCTTTTTCCCTTTTCTCCCCTTTCTTTCTTTTTCACAGCGGTGGGACGTGACCCGTGGTCGCTGGCAGCTGTGTGCCCAGGGAGCTTGGTACATGCTGAACAGGTCTGGGAGTACCCAGGGGTCATATCCATTTCTCTTGAGACTTTCTCAAAGACATTTGATCCCTGTGACATTAGGCTCAACAGAGTGATGTGCTGAGCTCTTGAAGTACTGGAGACTATACCTCTCCTCTAGGCCTCACACCAGCAATCTCGTTGCCATCTGGAAACTTCATACAGGAGAAATATTTTTTTCTCCCTTTGGAACTTTAGGTGTTACTATATTAGGTACCACTATTTTCCCCAATCATATTTCCACCTGTAAAAATCACAACTGTAGGTTTTGCGTGTAAACTCTTGAGCAGTGCTTACCTCAAACGCAGGACTTAATTTTGAGGCATGCATTGCTATGTCCCCACTTCAAAAACATCTTTTCTCACTCATTTTCTTTGTATCCTAATGGGATGGCTTTAAAACCCTTTAGATTACACAGTGTGTTATCAAAGCACAGTTCCAAAAGCACAAAGTATGCCCAAATGAAAATGTTAAGGTTGCAAAGACCAGTGCTCAGAAGGGGTGAAGCAAGACCAGAAGGAAACCTTGTAAATTTAATATAATTAAAATTAAATAATAATTAAATTTAATTAAAATTAAATAATAATTTAATATAATTGCTTATACGCATGGCAATAAAGTTATTAGCTGCTTGGTCACTTGCTCTTTATTTACAGGCCGTTTCCTTTGGTCACTGCACAGAACTGAGTTGTTCTGGCAAGAATGAACTGTGCAATGACACAGGTTGTTCTCTGCAGTTTCTCTGCCTCAGCTTCTGCAGAAACTGGAGCTTGAAGAGTGAAAAAAATATGCCTAAACTCAAAATTTCTGTCCCCTAGGGAATTTCAATGTTCTCTTTTTCAGGTGTTTCAAGTTACAATTAAAAAGCAAAATAGCAGTATTTCCAGCAAGATGGAAATTCTGATGAGGTTTTGTTCCGTGGAAAGGAAAAAATCCAGGTAATTTGTTTCAGAAACACGTTCAGAGCTTGCAAGTTTCTGGTTTCTTGAATGACAGAGAAAAAAATTGCCTCGAAGCTTCTCGCATGCCAGCACTGGAAAGAACATAGGATCACAGAATAGTTGGGTCAGATGTCTGCAGCCTCCCTACGGGGCAGCAGCCTTGTGGGACTGGGCAGCCCCTCGGCCACCACTGTCCCCTGCCAGAGCCAGACCATAGGGTTTCTCATCCCAAGTCCCTCAGGCACACTGACTGGTCCAGGCCACCAGCTGACACATCACTGGTTCCCAAGCAAACCCCTACTTTGGCTTCCCTGGCCAGCTTATTTCCCCCAAAACACAACTGTCTGCCCTCTCTGATGCCACTGGTGTATTAAGAACACCCAAGAAAAGGTAAATGATTTCACTTGACCTCATCCTCAGGAAAGACCAGTTTTGGGTTGGCATGTCCTCATCTCCAAGATGCAAGGAAGGTGTGCTGTCTTCAACAAGTGTACTCGAGTACTCAAGGAGGGCTATTAGGACCAGTGGGCAGGTGTCCCCTGTGCTCTAGTAGCCTCAGGTCATGGTCTCACACCAGGCATAATGTGAGGTTTGGTGAGGAGACATGTCCATGCTGTCCTATACTTGACTCTAGGCAAGAGGAAAGGTGACTTTATGTCCCTGTGTTTCTGTGGGGCCAGAGAGAAGGAGGAAGCCCCGTTCCTGGGGTCAAGGTGAGAAGATCTGCCCAGGGTGCCAGGAAGACATGCTGACTGGTGGAGGTGACGTGGAAGCAGTGCCTGTCCCAGGCTGTCCCTTCTTCCACAGAAGGGGTTGAGTGTTCTTGTGCCCGGTCCAGCATCTCTGTGCCAAAATCTGCCTCATGAATAAATCTCTGGGCCTTTCTCCTCCACCGGTTTCATTCTGCCATCATTTTTTTTTACAGACAGGGGAACAATATTTCTGCGAGGGTCCATTTGTAATATGTCTTTTTCCCTTTTCTCCCCTTTCTTTCTTTTTCACAGCGGTGGGACGTGACCCGTGGTCGCTGGCAGCTGTGTGCCCAGGGAGCTTGGTACATGCTGAACAGGTCTGGGAGTACCCAGGGGTCATATCCATTTCTCTTGAGACTTTCTCAAAGACATTTGATCCCTGTGACATGAAACTAGTTACTAAACAACAAAGATTCAAAGATTAGAGTTAGAGTTTCTCATCAGGCCACCACCAGGCTGTGAGGGGGAGGAGGAAGGCAATAATGCCCCAGGATGCTGAGCCTGCAGGTGCCCATGAAAAGACTCATTATTCATCAGGATTTCGAGCTGAAAAGTTAAAATCAGATGTTTTCTGTGGCTGATACTGGTTCTCCCCGTTGCATTGCCAATGACAGCACAAGGTATAGCGCTGCCTTGCCAGCTCACTTCAGCTTGCCCATGGTAAGAAACAAGTAATGATAAATGTCCACGGTGATAAACAAGTAATTAAAGGCATGCAAGTTTTGGAGCACATACAGCTGTTAAGAAGCACATTCCCTTGTCTCCAGAAATCCAGGTTCTTTTCTCTTTCCCTTGTGTAACTTAGACATTCACATTGTTATTTTATTTCTTCAATATCACATTACTTATGATTTGTCATGCCTTTTTTTTTCCCTTTTTGCTGTTTACTGTTAGATTATTTTACCTTGTCTCCAGAAATCCAGGTTCTCTTCTCTTTCCCTTATGTAACTTAGACATTCACATTGCTTTTTTATTTCTTCAATATCATATTACTTATGATTTATCATGCCTTTTTTTTCCCCTTTTTGCTGTTTACTGTTAGATTATTTTACTAAAGGTTAAGCAAATAAAATACAAAAAAGTCCACCAGGAGAATCAGAGGAAAAATGACATCTGGAGGAATCCTAGTAACCTAGTCTGTGAAAACAAGGTGTATTGAATTGGTTACTCCTAAGATTATCACAGGAGAACCCATTGAAATGATTCAATGAAAGAGATTCTCCCCAGAATACCATGCAAACTAAAGGGGTACGGGACTAACCGCAGGATGGTAGAGGAAGGGAATTTGGAAACAGAGCAGAGGGAATTCTAGGACTGTGTAAAACTTATCATGGGATTTTCAGGAGAAAGACCAAAGTGGGGGAAAGGGAGGTGCCAAGGTGAATTAAGATTAGTAAGTACAGGAAAGTAGAGGGTAAAATGTATATAAAAGTATTGATCATAGTTGAGTAAGTGTTATTTTATATGCTTGCCTGACTGAGATATGTGCTTGACCGTTGCAGTTTATCCTATATTCCCTGTGTATGAACTCTAGATCATGCATGAATGATGTATCATGTATGAACACGCATGTGAGTGCTAGGAAAGTTCATGTTAGTTTAGCTTGCAAGCGTGATAAGGGGTCAGAGGACTTGCGACTGCAGGGAGTGACCATAGGTCTGAAGGACCCATGAGTCCAGGTGTCATCACCTGGAGGAGATCAGGGTCTGGGGGCCAAATATAGGGTAAACTGAGGCCTCAAAATCAGCTACGGGAGAGAGCATATTTATTCCAGGGAGGTATATATACTCCACTGTCAAACTCCCATCCTGATCATTCAGTGAGGGGGGAAAAGAACTGGGCTGCACTGTTCATGTTCTTGTAGGTACCAAGACAGACACTGCTCAGGCATGCTCTAGTGGCCAAGGTTGTACTGTGGGGGTCTTTTGTGTGTGCATGGTTGGACTCGGTGATCTCAGAAGTCCTTTCCAAACATGAAGATCCTGTGATTCTGCTCTGTGTGCTGGTGTGGATGTCTGCCCTTGCTCGCAGCATGTATGCCCCTGTAAAAAAAACCACCAGGTGCTAATTTGCTTTAACATGACTTTATCAGTGCTTTACTGGTGGAAGAGGATGAAGATTAAATAACTGTTAAGGAGAGGCTTTCCCTGTTCCCCTCAGACAAGAAGAGGTGTATGCGGAGAAGAACCTGAGAGACAGCCATTAAGATTGGGGTGAAAGAGCCCGTGGGCATGTTTCGTAACTTCTTGTATTGGGAACATTTACAATCTAAATCACAGCCCTAAATCCTAAGAAGGACAGGTTATCCCGAGCAGCAGCCCAAAACGGGGCATCTCTGCTTTTTAGAAGGTTCTGCTTTTGATTCCAGCCTCCCAGCCTGTCAGTCGATGGGTGCAAGGGGTTCCCCTTCCTAAATGTGCACAATGAGAAATATGTGAAATGTCTGAGGAGACAGCAGAAGTTTCTCTCATTTTAATCAGCGAATAAAAAACTGAAAGAATAAAAAAAACCCAGTGAAGCAAGCAGGTGTATATTTTTGTTTCCCCGCGACTGAAATGTTCTTCTTTTCTGCTGCTCAAGAAACCTCTGGAGCAGTCTGGAGATTCTTAAAAGCAATTCAGTAAAATCCCCTCAAATTATGGCATATTCTCAGTCATACCCTTCTGCAAAATGTTCAAATGCTCACATAATGAGGAAAAATGCCTGTAAGCGTGTTTTAGTTATCTGCAGTGAAAGTTCAGGTGTTTTGAATGCATGCTTTTCAGACACACATTCACTGAATCTCCTCCTTTAAGCACAGCAGACAATCCCAGTACTTCTTGAAAGCATCTCAAAAACCTTTATGAATGTACAGATTCATCGCAGAGGTTTCCCCTAGAGACAGGGGATTAACCTTACGAACATTCAGAAGAAGAAAGGACTGGAGGATTTTGCATTTTAGGCTTTTAGAGCACATATGAAAAAACAGCTGTGCCAAGAAGGCTTGGAAACCCACTTCCAGGGCTTTGCAGAGACCCCCTGGATTCAGCTGGTGCCTTCTGCCAGCTCTGAATCAGCTCTGACCATGGAATCATAGAACCATCTATGTTGAAAGGGACCTTTAAGACCGTGTCCCACGACCACACAGAGCTCCAGCAAAGAGCAGGAGCGTGTCCGCAGCTGATTGCTTAAAAAACACTGCCCACTTATATCCTTGTATCTTCAGATGTCCCACAACCACACAGAACTCCAGCAAAGAGCAGGAGCGTGTTCGGAGCTGATTGCTTAAAAAGCACTGCCCACTTATATCCTTGTATCTTCAGAAACTTGTTCTCCCACTGTGTCCTGCTGCCTCTTTACCCTGCGCTTGGGACAGCAAAGGAGCAGCTTTGAAAGGGTGTGAGAAGAGAAGCTACAGACTGTGACTAGGACCACACTGTTCTTGTACACACCCTTCATCTCAGCCACCATCATACCCAGAACAGTTTTTACAAATCCCATCTCCATCCATCAACACCCAAAAGGAACGTTTTTGCCTACAAAGTATTTTCCTAGCAATTCCTAAATAGAATTAGGAATATCAGAAATTATGCAAGGAGCCTGTTGATGATTCTGAGCGTAACCATGCACATCAAGGATGTCTGAATAACTTGAATAACTTGTGGTTTAGATTTCACATTCTGGCTGCACGTATCGTTCACGTAAACCAAGCTCTGCATTTTATCTTTTACTTGACACAGCCAAAAATACCTCCAAGCTGGTCAAACACATTTCCAGAGAAAACTAATTAGCTAAAAACAAAAAAAAAAGCATTGCTCTATAGAGATATAGTGCCTTCTCTTTCTCTTTGTCTGAGAGTTGAATAAAAATAATTAAAGCAATGTAGATATTTGAATGAGATGGCAACAGCCTGAAATCCTTCCATATGAATTACCACCATTCGTAGTGCCAAGAATTCCCTCAAAGGAGCCATAAATGCTGATGGCCAGGACTGAGGGATATCTTACTGCTTGGAGTCAGTTTTAAATTGTCATCCATGGGTGGCTAAAGTTCCCATCATACCGGCAGTTTTCTCTGGCTCACTGATCAGGAAAACAGAACTGGCTGGCTCTTCCCCTAATGAAGGATTAGGATTTCATCCTGCAGGCACCGACCATCCTCTTCCTTCACTACCACTCATTTCACAGGTTCATTGACTTATTAGCACTTACAGAAGAGATATAGTCAAGCAGCCCTCCCTCATCACCACTGTGTTATTTAACCCTTGATGATACTTCAGACCACTTTGAAACACAGAAAGGAGAGAAGCTCTTCAAAGAGGTTATGGCAGAGGCATACATGATTGACAGCCCCTTCTTATCTCACTTCACGCTTTTTGGGTTTGAGAACACATTGATCCCGTGATCCCTCTTGGTTCTCAGTTAAGGACATGACATTGGTACATCTCTCCTGAGACTTAGTTGCCCATCTCTTGTGTCATCTTCATTTTCTTGACAGTTTGAAAGATTCTTCAGACATGAAGCCAAGAAAATGCCTCTCCCTTTTGTGGTGATCAAATTATCATGCCAGTTCCACCTATTCAAATTTGTCTCTCTCCTGTTTCATATCACATCAGTGAGTCAGAATCTAGCTTTCTACTTTCTAAAAGCCGCTATTGTGCCCACAAAAGCACCTCAGCATCCCTTATAAGATCCCCTATCATCTCCTTCTCTCTTGTCTTTCGTTTCCAACCACGTGTGTGTGCTATCCCAGACATTGTTCCTTAATTAAAATTAATTGCGATCACAATGTCTTTGTCATTTAGTATGTGTAAGACATTGCTCAGGGGGAATTTCACCCCACTTCGGTGCTTTGCTCTGCACGTAGTAAGAATTACAGAATAAAAGTATGCACTGCCTTATCTTGACTAGGGTGGTGTGCTGAGGCCAAGGCAGAGATTTGCTATATTTGGGATGCAGAACAGGCCTTTCATGCTCAAGCTGCCGCTGTTGATACTTGGAGCTGGACCAGTTGCACTGTTTCTAATTTGGAGAATAGCAAGCGCAGGGGATTACTGGATGCAGCCACATGGTCTATATTTTCGCTCCGACACCTTTTCCTCTGTGACCTTAGTCCCCCCCCTCAACCTCCCTCCAAGAGTCAGACTAAGATGCTTCCATTAGATAAGGCAGGAAAAGATCCTCCAATTTTAGTAGCCGGCATATTTCTCTTACGTGAAATAGAAACCATACCTTGGATTTCATACAAGAGTAACTAGGTCATTAAATAACCTGGCAACCTACCCAAAGGACACAGGGGAAGTTTTTATGTAAACATTTCATTTCAATAGTGAAGAGCTACCATTAGGCCCCTAACATGCACTTTGCATAATCATCAGATAATGCCCAGTCTTTTCTCCTATTTCATGGCTTTTTTTAAAAACCCTTCGACACCTTTTCCTCTGTGACCTTCGTCCCCCCCCTCAACAACCTCCCTCCAAGAGTCAGACTAAGATGCTTCCATTAGATAAGGCAGGAAAAGATCCTCCAATTTTAGTAGCCGGCATATTTCTCTTACGTGAAATAGAAACCATACCTTGGATTTCATACAAGAGTAACTAGGTCATTAAATAACCTGGCAACCTACCCAAAGGACACAGGGGAAGTTTTTATGTAAACATTTCATTTCAATAGTGAAGAGCTACCATTAGGCCCCTAACATGCACTTTGCATAATCATCAGATAATGCCCAGTCTTTTCTCCTATTTCATGGCTTTTTTTAAAAACTCTCCTTGTCACCTATTATCCTCTCAGTGTATGTCTGCGTTGCCCTGCAAGGTCGTGTTGTGTAACCACTAGACAGATTACCCTGTTTTACAAACTGAGCTTCACTGTAAGCTAACGGGCAGCTGCTAAATTAAGTTTGTAATAAAGCCACGTCCATCACACCACTGGTTTTTAACTGTTGATGAACAGGAAATTACTTCACAAATGCTTTGCTTTTTTCGCTTTTTCCTTTTGCCAGGACACTCAGAATAGCAGCATTCATGCATCGAATGCATTATAGCACTGGGACACGCTGGCCTCCACTTTATTATTTTAATCATTATTCTACTTTGAATTTTTGGCTGTGCTTTATTCTCTGCAGTGTGAGATTCTAGTAGGTTCTTGTGATGAGAGGTCAAACTAAATAAAAATGGCCCTGCTGGCCCTGTCAACTAAATTCAAACATTACTGTGAAGCTTTATAGCAATAATACCTTTCGTGCTACTATATTCTGTAAGCAATTCCAGTGGAATCCCTGTTCTGAGTGGTTTATTATAGCTCAACCATAAAAATGTGCTTTGGGCTGAAAGTGGATTTATAAGATTTCTGCCCAGGAGCATACGCTTTGTAAAGTTTAATTTAAATCAGCTTAGCTATTTTTTTTTCCTTTAAAGACTGAAGAATAATAACAAAAATAGATTATTAGTCTTTTTCTTAGCAGAACCCCCCCCACACTTTTATTTCTGTAACAAGCAGGCGTTATTCTTGCCTTTCGTGCATGTATGTAATTCCATCAACTTTGGGGAAGATGTGGGGAGGGCCACGAGAGCAAAACTAGTCTTCCTTATAATAAATGAAATCTGGAGGCTGTCTGGCCAACTGTTTGAACTAGGATTTTCTATTGGGTAAAGGGAAACATAGAAACAGTGATATTGTTATTGGAAAAAAAAAAGAGGGTGTACTGCACGTAAATTACTTTTTGCAACAGTTAACAGCAGAGAGCTCTATGAAATGGTAAAAGGAAAAATCTCATTCAATTCAGTACAACTCAGCTCACAGACCCACTATTACTCTTGGAATTCCTGGACACAACTTTTTCTCTGCTCTGATAGATGGTTTGTGCAGAATTTTAGAGGGGTTTTTTTCAGTTTTCCATTATTTCCTAACATCTGGACATACATCTTGCTGAGAACTCCCAGAGAGAAATACAGCAACTGTTTCACACGTTACTGGTGGGTTAACAACCTGCAGTGATTCCTCCTGCAATCTTTAGGTGGTATTTATAACTTGGTATGGTATTTTGTGTTATGGTGACATTTACATAAAGGATAGAAAACCTGAACCTTCTGGAATAGAGGGGTCTGGAACAATGAAAAGAATAACCAGTCAGTCTGGTTATCTAAAAGTTTTATCATCACCACTGCATCATTGCATGGATGAATGCAGAACTGAATAACTGCATTGATTTGGTTCACAGTCACAAACTTTCTTTTCATTTTGACATAAAATATAATGTTTGGGTTGGTTTTTTTTTTAATACATTTACTGTGATTTTTTTTAACTTTATTTTACTTGAATGAGATTTTCCTGCCCAATATCTCCCCTTTCCCACTCAGACTTACCAAATAGCATCATTGACTTACAGAGCAGTACTCCATCAAACATATCCCAGTTCCTCTGACAATATCCAATCTCATGACAGGGCCATTGCTTATGAAGAACGACAGCTATAGCTATGGCTCATCTTCAAATTTTGTTCACTTGAAGGCCACCTTGATGACTTGCCAGAGGTCATGTAAACATTGAGCAGAGTAGATCGAAACGAGCAGCTCATCAGACTGGGCTCTGCTGTTGCATCTGAGTCAGCAGCCAAACTGCTCAGCAAGGAGCAAGGAGTTTGGAAATGTAGGAGTGATATTGCTCTTGGAAACTAGGAAAAAACCTGTCTGATGGCAGTGCATGGGACATACAGGGGTCCCATCAGTTCAGAGAGAACATGCTTTCCACTAACTTCTGTTTCAACACAGTTGAAGAATTTTTAGATCTCTCCTTCCGAGAGTAATTGTCATGTGTCCCATGTTTTGGACACTCTACTTCCAAACATTTGTTTGTAGAAGTTTTCCTTTCCATTTTCCCTTTCTTTTCCCTTTTCCTTTTTCCTTTTTCCCTTTTCCCATTTTCCTTTCCCTTCCCTTCCCTTCCCACCATAACAAAGTTAATCCAAACGTGGAGAGCTGCCCACAATTAAAAGATCACTTAAATCAAATGAATGAAACCCCATGTTGGGGAGCCACTCTTATCTTCACCTCTTTCAACGGTTTAGCTGTTGGCCAGCAACTTCCAGGGGAAACAAGATGAATTATAATAGAACAGGTGGAAAACAGTATAGACCGAAAACAGGATACATTCAAAAACAACTTGGGAATGAGGATAAGTAAATAAATGATGTCAAAAGAGCCTAATTAGTTTCAGGAATACCAAGATAAGAATATCTGGCAAAGCTATTTTAATATGCAATGGATAGTCACAGTCAGTATCATGTACCTATATATATACAAATACACAGACATGCACACACATATACATATATATGAATAGTCCTGATGTTATTTTAATCTTAAATTCATCTCAGATTTTAATGCTGCCAGGTGTTCAAGATGGTTAATCAGTATACTGTGTGCAGCTGATACATATCCGGGGGTAGGAAGGAAGGAACCTGAAGGCACCTGCCTTCCTACAGTGTGCTCACAGGCTCTGTTTGCTGTACGAGGCAGCACAACAATTCACTGGCAAGCTGGAAATAATAGCTAGCCAAGGTGACTCGGACATTGGGCAGCAGCAGTCAGTGGACAGGAGTCAATGCTGCATGTCAGAGATCCTGCAGCTGCATCATCAAATCCTGCAGCTGGTTCCAAACATCCATCTTCTACATATATAGTAGATTTCATAGTAGAAAAATAGGAAAGCTCATTCATGACTTAATTTACATCAGATGCATCAAAAGCCAACACGCATTTCTGCTATTTGTTCCAGACTGCTTTCTAAAGTATAGCTTTTCAGTCCATCCACACAGACAAAATATTCCACTAAGTTGTCACAACTCAGTAGCTCCCACATCCCACTTCTCAGTAGCATCCTTACCTCTGCCATGGACAGGTACATCTTGTTCCACTCATTTCTGTTCATACAGCTTGTTCTCCTATGGCTTGTGGTCATCTGAGAGATGATTCACACTTCTTCCTTTTCTCTGACATATGAAATACAGACAGGTTCTTTTTACCTTTATGGCTCTTCACGGGCCATCATGCCTCTTCTCAGACACTTATCAGCAGTATCAAGTGAAAAGAGGCAATGGGAACACACTGAAATACAAGAAAATCCATGTAAATACTAGAAAACACTTTATAATTTTAAGGGTGGTTGAACACAGGATCAGTTTGCCCAGAGAGGTTGTGGCAACCTGTGAATGACCCTGGAGATATTCAAAACCCAACTGGACATGGCCCTGGGCAAACTACTCTCATTGACCCTGCTTGGACAGAGGACTTGGACTAGATGATCTAAAGAAGTCTTTTCCCACCTCAGTGGTTCTGTGATTCAGTGATTCTTATCTACCACCTTTCATTCATTACTGACCTGATGACTCTTCCTTCCAAAAACATTGCCAACAGCTTACACCACCAAGGAGTTTTATTTCCAGCCTTGTCAGAAAATCTCCCTACAAACCTCTACAAAGATCCCCTTCTTCAAGACTCTTCTGAAAACTCTTCGTTGCGGATTATAAAACCTATAAAAATCAAATTTTGTTCACTTGAAGGCCACCTTGATGACTTGCCAGAGGTCATGTAAACATTGAGCAGAGTAGATCGAAACGAGCAGCTCATCAGACTGGGCTCTGCTGTTGCATCTGAGTCAGCAGCCAAACTGCTCAGCAAGGAGCAAGGAGTTTGGAAATGTAGGAGTGATATTGCTCTTGGAAACTAGGAAAAAACCTGTCTGATGGCAGTGCATGGGACATACAGGGGTCCCATCAGTTCAGAGAGAACATGCTTTCCACTAACTTCTGTTTCAACACAGTTGAAGAATTTTTAGATCTCTCCTTCCGAGAGTAATTGTCATGTGTCCCATGTTTTGGACACTCTACTTCCAAACATTTGTTTGTAGAAGTTTTCCTTTCCATTTTCCCTTTCTTTTCCCTTTTCCTTTTTCCTTTTTCCTTTTTCCTTTTTCCTTTTTCCCCTTTCCCATTTTCCTTTCCCTTCCCTTCCCTTCCCTTCCCTTCCCTTCCCTTCCCTTCCCTTCCCTTCCCACCATAACAAAGTTAATCCAAACGTGGAGAGCTGCCCACAATTAAAAGATCACTTAAATCAAATGAATGAAACCCCATGTTGGGGAGCCACTCTTATCTTCACCTCTTTCAACGGTTTAGCTGTTGGCCAGCAACTTCCAGGGGAAACAAGATGAATTATAATAGAACAGGTGGAAAACAGTATAGACCGAAAACAGGATACATTCAAAAACAACTTGGGAATGAGGATAAGTAAATAAATGATGTCAAAAGAGCCTAATTAGTTTCAGGAATACCAAGATAAGAATATCTGGCAAAGCTATTTTAATATGCAATGGATAGTCACAGTCAGTATCATGTACCTATATATATACAAATACACAGACATGCACACACATATACATATATATGAATAGTCCTGATGTTATTTTAATCTTAAATTCATCTCAGATTTTAATGCTGCCAGGTGTTCAAGATGGTTAATCAGTATACTGTGTGCAGCTGATACATATCCGGGGGTAGGAAGGAAGGAACCTGAAGGCACCTGCCTTCCTACAGTGTGCTCACAGGCTCTGTTTGCTGTACGAGGCAGCACAACAATTCACTGGCAAGCTGGAAATAATAGCTAGCCAAGGTGACTCGGACATTGGGCAGCAGCAGTCAGTGGACAGGAGTCAATGCTGCATGTCAGAGATCCTGCAGCTGCATCATCAAATCCTGCAGCTGGTTCCAAACATCCATCTTCTACATATATAGTAGATTTCATAGTAGAAAAATAGGCAAGCTCATTCATGACTTAATTTACATCAGATGCGTCAAAAGCCAACACGCATTTCTGCCACGTGTTCCAGACTGCTTTCTAAAGTATAGCTTTTCAGTCCATCCACACAGACAAAATATTCCACTAAGTTGTCACATCTCAGTAGCTCCCACATCCCACTTCTCAGTAGCATCCTTACCTCTGCCATGGACAGGTACATCTTGTTCCACTCATTTCTGTTCATACAGCTTGTTCTCCTATGGCTTGTGGTCATCTGAGAGATGATTCACACTTCTTCCTTTTCTCTGACATATGAAATACAGACAGGTTCTTTTTACCTTTATGGCTCTTCACGGGCCATCATGCCTCTTCTCAGACACTTATCAGCAGTATCAAGTGAAAAGAGGCAATGGGAACACACTGAAATACAAGAAAATCCATGTAAATACTAGAAAACACTTTATAATTTTAAGGGTGGTTGAACACAGGATCAGTTTGCCCAGAGAGGTTGTGGCAACCTGTGAATGACCCTGGAGATATTCAAAACCCAACTGGACATGGCCCTGGGCAAACTACTCTCATTGACCCTGCTTGGACAGAGGACTTGGACTAGATGATCTAAAGAAGTCTTTTCCCACCTCAGTGGTTCTGTGATTCAGTGATTCTTATCTACCACCTTTCATTCATTACTGACCTGATGACTCTTCCTTCCAAAAACATTGCCAACAGCTTACACCACCAAGGAGTTTTATTTCCAGCCTTGTCAGAAAATCTCCCTACAAACCTCTACAAAGATCCCCTTCTTCAAGACTCTTCTGAAAACTCTTCGTTGCGGATTATAAAACCTATAAAAATAATTTGTCAAGTTGTAGATAGATGCTGTGTCTACTTGTTACTCTGACTCTACTTCTAGGCCTGTTCCTCCCTTTATAATTCAGGTTGTAAAATGCCTGGGACACAAACTATATTTGGGTTTTGTACTGCACCTGCCACCACTGTTTGCTGTACATAAGTAGGACTGCTAGACATGCAATGAAAAGAAAAGCTAGTGGGTACCCCCAAAGTAGTCACAGTATGGGTCAAAATTAAAATAAAGACATTAACTACCATTTTCAGTGTTAAGGAGTTGTTTTGCTTGTACAAATACACAGGAACTGTAAAGTACCTGGCACATAAGGTATTTCTTTGTTTGCTATACTATGTATTTAAGTTTCACCAGTTCCATGGAATTTAACCTGAACTTTATTCGTAACTATGGTGACTAACTGTAATAAACAGAGTGATAAAGGTGCCCCAGACTTTATTTAATGGGGAATAAGAAGCAGCTAGAAAGAGAAACCTCTACTTTTCACAGACAGGTCATTCAGTCAGCCACTTACGTAGGCTGTTAATACACGGATGGGTTTTGAATCACTTGCCTCCACCTGTAGGAATACATCTGTTTCTCCCCTTCTTTACTGGTGATGTGCTGAGTGCGATGAGACAGGCAGATAAAGCTGGGAAGCACTTCCCACCAGTGGATGGAGTGGCACTATATCCCAGACAGACACATCTCCTCCAGCTTCCCCCATGGACTGCAGCGTGAGCCAGAGCAGGAGAAGCTGCCATCCCACGTGTTTCTGGCTCTCACTGGTGGCAGAGATGCTGCTGGGATGAATGTAACTATAATTATGCATCCTGCTGTCCCGTTTCTTTGATGCAACAGGGTAGGAGGGAAGACCTTGAACAGGACTGGAGTCGAGGGTGGCCAATTATCTGGCAGGATGTTTGGGGAAGATCCTTTTGCTGTTTACACTTCATTACCAACTGTGCAGAAAGCAATTAGCACCCGGCCCCTCTTCCTTCATTTTTGGTACCTAGATAAACAGCAAAAAGGCTGCTACAAGCAGTAGAAGAAACTCAGACTGATCTCTCTGGTGACATTTGTCTACTCAGTCCTGCTGAACCAAACCCAGCAACGTTCTCTGCTTTGTCTCATACTGATCTCCATTCAAATAAGGCAGCAGCTGGAACAGCCAAAAAACATCAGCCTCTTTGTCATGACGATAATAACAATACTGCCGCAGCTTCTAAAGTGTGAAACTAGTAGCTTGATTAGAGCAATAAAATGTTCTTTCGGGATTTCATGAGATGAGCAGGAGCACAGAAGAATTAGCTTAGTTTTGGCTGGGTATCAGAGTGACACGGTGCCTATGGTGACAGGCAGTGTGAGGTTTTGTTGTGTTTCACTGCATCCACTTGAGTATAAATACATGCATGTGCACTACTGTGGTGTAAAATTCACTGTGTGTATGAAAATCTGACCCTTACATCACCAGAATTAACTTCCCTGACTATGTTGGTCTCTTCTCAGTGCTCCACACCCAAAGTCCTTAGAAACAGCCCACTGGCACAGTTCTGTTGTGTGGACAGAGAGAAAAGACAAACCATCCTTTTTCCTAGTATATTACACCCATATACCCCAGAAACACCTCCTTACCCAAAACATAGAAATGCTCGTTTCCTCCTGCCAACCCCATTTCCTTAGTTTGGGAGTGGAGAGTCACAACCTGGCCAGGTCAAAGCAGATAAAGCTCTGGTGTAGGCAGAGCAAGTTCTGAGACTTGCAAACAGAGCATAAGTCATATGATTTTGAAATATAACCCGTGGCTTGTGAAATATGCAATAAATCCAGTGCCCAGAGATGTGGTTTGAGAAATAAACCAGCTCGAGTTCCCTGCCAGTATGGGTGGCACAACCCAGAACAGAGTTACAGGACTAAGAAGCTCAACCTGAAGATAGTTTGTGGCAGTGCCTTCCCCCAAGAAACACAACCATGAGGCACTGCTTTTATCTGCATTTCACAAATGGCCCAGGTTTTGTCCCAGCGAGCCCCTGACTCTGCTGGTTTAGAATCCTGACAAACTGGTATGTGAGATTTTCAGCTGGGAGGCAATAGCCCCAGCTCTGTTGTTGAGGAATTAGGCATCATCTTTGAGCTGAGACTGACAGCTGGCTGTGTCACACTCCTCTTCCACTTTACTCCAGCAGGCAGTCCAGCTACTGGTCTAAAACTACCAATTACTTTAAAACAATGTGCAAACTCTGTGCTTAATTTAGCCTTGGTTCAGAGTACTTGATTTCACCCTAAGTCTAAAGTGATTGGGAAAACACCTCTGCCCACCTGGCCTGGGAGAGCTCCCAAGTGACCTTTGAATGATTTGCATTTTTCCTCTAAGGCCCCAAAATAAATGTACAGCCTTAAAACACACACACACCTTGGGGCTTAAGCAATTATTCATGATACAACAAGAAAAACACAAAAGATACATCACTATAAATTCTTAAATGAGCTAGTTTTACTTTCTGATCTCAAAGTATTTTCGCTGTTTGATCTGTCATAAATATTTCTTTTAGCTCTTTAAATAGCTTTGGCTTATTGATGTATGTAGGAAGATGATTTATTGCAGTGGCAGAACAAATGAAATGCTCTGTTAAACGTGAGCTACTAAATGTTGCAAAAGAGAATAGGTTCTTCAATGCAAGATCCAGACCCCAAAGTCTCAGCAGTAGTTGCACAAGTCTGAAGGACAAATGTTAATGATGTGACAAAATGAATGAGGTCGCTGCTGAGATTTACTCCCTGGAGACTTACTTCCTTTCATCACTAGATTTTTTATTTTTATTTACTTCTAACAAGGAAAAAAAGTTCTGCTGGGCACCTACCTTTTTTTCACAGGCCTAGTGAATACGCCAGAAAATATCTATGGCTTCAATAACTATAAAATCTCCCCTCATTTCTAAAAAAACTCAGCTGAATGGGTCTTGTCTTATCACAGTGGACTTAGCATCTTCCTGCACTTTTCATTATATTGAATTCTAAACTTTATGTAACTTTTTAAAGGGGCTGGAGGGAAGAGAGAAAAAGCAAGTGTTTAAAATGCATTGAAATGATGCTTTGTCTTGATTAAATACATATCAGTGTCAACCAGCAACCCTGCGTTAACAAGCTACCTAGCAGCGATAAACCAGTACTGTGGGACAAAAATTATTAAAAAAAAAAAAAGCTGAGATCTCATTTTCTGATTTATACTTGCAGAATTTTTTTTAATACTGCTTTTTTAATCATATTTATACCAACCATTATTTACGTTGCAACTAGAGAACTGGGTAGCAAGACCTTGCATTTCCTAGGCTGCTCCTGTCCTGCTGGAGCTTTTCCACACCATGGCCTGGCTGAGACATCGTGGCTTCATGCCACAGCACCCTCAACTCCAGACAGCCCCAGAGGTCACTGCACCCTCTCCAGAGCCAACAGAGCAGTGCCCGGGGTGACAGTCTCCTCTCCTAGCTCCCTGCTGGCCATCATCACTGGCACACAACTTGCTGTCAGCAGCCCTGGGCTTGCCAAGTGTCATCCTCACCCACCTGAAGATGAGCTTTCCCAGTCCCATTGCTCCTCTATTTAAGCCAGAGGTGAATGATGTCACTAAGCTGCTAACCTGCCCTGGCTATGAAGGTCAGAGAATCACAGAATGACATAAGGTTGGAAGGGACCTCTGGAGATCATCTAGTCCAACCACCTGCCAGAGCAGGGTCACCCAGAGCAGGTTGCACATGAACGTGTCCAGGTGGGCTTAGATTGTCTCCAGAGATGGAGCCTCCACCACCTCTCTGGGCAGCCTCTTCCAGGGCTCTGCCACCCTCAAAGTCAAGAAGTTCCTCCTCATGTTTAGGTAGAACTTCTTATGTTCAAATTGGTGCCCATTTCCTCTTGTCCTGTCCCTGGGCACCACTGAAAAAAGACTGGCCCCATCCTCCTGACACCCACCCTTTAAGTATTTATAGGTGTTGATCAGATCCCCCCTCAGTCTATTCCTGACTAAAAAGACCCAAGTTCCTCAGTCGTTCCTCATCAGAGAGATGTTCTAGTTCCCTCATCATCTTTGTAGCCTCCACTGGACTCTCTCCAGCAGTTGCCTGTCCTTCTTGAACTGGGGAGCCCAGAACTGGACACAGAATTGCAGATGCATCCCCATCAAGGCAGAGCAGAGGGGGAGGATGACCTCCCTCAACCTGCTGGCCACACTCTTCTTGGTGCATCCCAGGACACTAGGTCCTTGATGTGGTTCATATTTATATCAAAGGGCTCTGTAGACACTGCAGCTGCCTCCAGCATCACTGTCCTACATCTGTGCTGCCTGCAGCCAGCACAGGTTTCTCTCTCCCCTCCCTCTCTGCCTCCCTGGATGTTTGACCAGATGCATTAATAACGAGGTTTCCTTCCTGTGAATCATGGCACCATGAACAGAAACCTACATTTAAAGGACCTGTGATTTGCTCTGCTGTAAAAAACTTTGTTTCTTGAAGGAGGAATGAAACTGAGGTTCTGAGGTTTACAGTTATACAAAATACATAACAAAATTTTCTTTTGGGTCTCT